TGGCAAAGGTCTTGTCGCGTCCGAAATGTCCCATAAGTCCACCACCGTGAGCCTCTTGCAAACGTAACAAACAAAGAGAATACTCGGGTATACAAAGTTTGTTAGCGCACATAAGATAGCCATTCTTGAGGTAATAGTTATCCTAACAAGTGTTAGCAAGACATTTGGCATAAGGAAGCGCAAATGAAAGATCATGTGCATAAAGATCTTTAACATGCTAAAAGCCTATAACATTCAATTCAAGTTGAGTAACTAGCATGTGCTTGCGGGAAAGAGCATCCGCCACAACATTTTATTTACCCTTAATGTACTTGATCACATAAGGAAAAGACTCAATGAATTCACTATGTTTAGCATGCCGTTTATTCAGCTTGGTTTGACCTTTAAGATACTTAAGTGTTTCATGATCGGTATGTATGACAAATTCATGTCGGCGAAGATAATGCTCCCAAACATGCGATACTCGCACTAAAGCATAAAATTCTTTGTCATAGATGGGATAGTTAAGTTGAGCTCCGGAAAGTTTTTCACTAAAATATGCAATGGGTCGCTTTTCTTGCATCAAAACTCCACCAATACCATTACCACTAGCATCACAATGGACCTCAAAAAGTTTTGTTGAAATTAGGCAATGCAAGGATTGGAGCATGTGTAAGCAAAGATTTGAGCTCTTAAAAAGCGGTAGATTGAGAGGGTCCCCAAACAAAGGGTGCGCTCTTCTTACCCAAGGCATGCATCGGTGAGGCAATAGTGCTAAAATCCTTAAAAAAGTGACGATAGAAACCGGCTAAACCAACGAAACTACGCACTTGTTGCAAATTAGTGGGTTGTGGCCAAGTTTTAATTGCTTCAATTTTAGACTCATCGACATGAACACCCTTGGAAGATACAACAAAGCCCAAGAAAACGATCTTGTCGACACCAAAAATGCATTTTTCCATGTTAGCATAAAGTCTCTCGTTTCTAAGCACATGCAAGACGTCTCTAAGATGAGTGACATAATCTTCTAGAGATTCGCTAAACACAAGTATATCGTGAAAATAGACCACACCACATATGCCAATGTATTTTCGAAGAACATAATGCATGACTCTCATAAAAGTGCCAGCTAACAGCTTAGTGGACTCGGGCCTCGCCGCGCTAGCAGCTCCACATCGCCCTTATCTTGCTGATGTATCTCCCCTTTTCACTCCATCTCTGCGGACTCAGGCCGACTGGCCTCGTTGGGTCAGACCCGAGGGCTCTGCTTTGTCGCATCTCGCTCAACGGATTTTGACACATCATTAGCGGGCGGACCCTCCTCCCCGCACTTCATAACGCGGATCGCACCGCACGGACCTCCCGCGCGGACAATGGCAAACCTCCTCGCGCATGCCTTACTCCACGGACCTCCCGCATGAACTTGCTGCACATACCTCCCTACTCTGCAGACTCCATCCCAAACATGTAGACCTTCTCACCCAAATAAACCGGCTTCAACTTCATTGCATCGTCTGTTCACCAAGACGACCTTATCGCTCCGTGGACTCGGGCCTAATTACATAATCACCACATTGACTCCTACGATTGATTCAAACTTTGCCGCACCCAACTCGAGTGCTTCGGCCTCGCCATGTCCTGCTTGAGGGCTCCAACTTGCCGCTTACGACACCATGTCCTATCTATAGGATTATTTTGGCAATGAATATTCATTGGACAAACTTGTTTACATGTGTGAACTTCTTCACGCGCGTCGTTTGTTGTGACGGCTCATCAAGCACAAGCAACTGCTCGATGGTTGTTGTTTCGCTCGGTCGTCCCTTTGACCTTGACCACTAACTCTTTGACCCATTGATCGTTGAATTTTCAAAAAGTTGTCAATATATTTAATTTGATTTTTTTTCACGAATACAAAATAAGTTCACAAATTTGGAAAAACATTCGTGAATTTTAAAAATCATGAATTTCAAAAAACTTCATCGGTTTGATATTTTTCTTGTGAAATTTGAAAAAAAAAATCACGCATTAGAACAAGCCAATGTCTTTTTTAAATCACGAATTTAAAAAAATTCACAAATTTCAAAAATGGTCACGGATTTGGAAAAGTTCATGAATTTGAAAAAATGTCCACCAAAAATCCATCAAACAAAAATAACGAATTTGACAAAAAATGTCATGAATGAAAAAAAGGGAAACACAAAAGAGAAATAAAATAAAATGGAAATAAAACTAAAAAGAAAACAAAAACAAAAGAAAAATAGTTTGAAAAGCATCTAGAAGCTTCCAAAGACATAATACAAGTGCGACACATGAAAATTGCAAGCGCAATAAGTTTTTTTTCTAGGCTAAACACGCTCCACTTTATTGATTAAGGGCCTGTTTGGGACTGCTCCACTTCATCAAAATCAGTTTTGCTCTACTAAATTCACTTTAGATCAGTTTCATCCAGAAGTTGTAGCACTACCAAAGAGAATGTTTGGCTTTCATCTAGCTCCAGCTACAAGAATGTGAAATTTGATGGAAATGATCTATTTGATTGGTTGAGGGGGAGAAACGAAGAGGTATCCACTTACTGGTGGCAGTGGTGAGTAATTTCCCCCTGAAGAGCTTCATAAAAATTTGGGAGTTGTATCCCAAATTCTAGTTTTTTTTGCGAAGCGGTATATCGTGAAGCTAACCCGTTTGGCTTGTGTTTTCTGGAGCGGAGCTGGATTTTAAAGAGTAGAGCAGTCCCAAACAAGGTCTAATAACATGGTTCCTAGTAATACAATGAATATGAGGGGGATGACCATGCCACGTATGTCAACCTATAAAAAGGTTTAGACCGAATTTAGGGATACTATATGCCTCGACATTGGACTCCGTCCTTCAAAGATGAAAGAGCGGGACTAGAACTTAGTGGCAGTGATAGTGATCTCTCCGATTATACTTGTATGCTTGCCACAACTAGAAAGGTTTGGTTTTTTCGTGAAAAAATGTTCGCCGAAACCTATCAACATGGGATCAATCTCGATGTAAGGAATCCAACGATGAAAATGGTCCGAGATTTGGATGCACAGTTTAAATGATAAAACATTTTAAATAAATGAATCTATGAAAAAAAGAAAAATCCGTAGGTTGCCACGAGTAATGTACATGCAGTGTGACACTTGTTGCAACATGGAAAGGTGGTCGCCTATACAACGCCTTATGCGCCATTTGTCCAGCCGGTGCCCACGCCCATAGTCTGTTGGGCCCGCCTATCAAGCACGAGCAAATTGCTCGATCGCTCAACTCGCTCGATGGTTGTTGCTTCACTCGATCGTCATTTTGACCAAGACCACTCACCATTTGAACCATTGACTATTGACTTTTCAAAATATTAGAATATATATTATATATTTTAAGAAATTGTGAATACAAAATAATTTAACAAATTTGGAAAAAAATCATGAGTTTCAAAAAAAGTTATTGGTTCGGTAAATTAACAAAATTTGTAATTTTTTTAATGAATTTGGAAAAAGTTTACACATTAGGAAAAAAATCCATGATTTAAAAAAATATATCATGAATTTGATTTTTATTTCACAAATTTTATAAAAAATCACCAATTTCAAAACAGTTCATCGATATCAATTTTTTTTGTGGATTTGAAAAAGTTACGAGTTTGAAAAAGCTCATCAATCTAAACAAACAAATTTGTAAAAAGATCGTGGATTTGAATTTTACAAGAACAAAAATACATGCAAAAAAAGAGAAAAATAAGAAAACCAGAAAGAAGGCAAAACACCAGAAGAAAACTAGTTTGAGAAGCATCTAGAAGCCTCCAAAATCGTAATACACGTGTGGCACCCGAAAACTACACTCATAATAAGTTTTTTTAGGCTAAACACGCTTCACTTCATATTGATTAACCATAGAGTTCATAGTCATACAATGAATATGTGGGGCTGACCCTTGTATGTTGACCTGCAGAAAGGTTTAGAGCGAATTTAGCAAGACTATAGGCCTTTATATTGGACTCCCGTCCTTCAAAGATGAAAGAGCAGGACTGGAACTCAAGGGCAATGATGATGATCTCTATGATTATACTTGCATGCTTGGCACCAAGAAACATATTTGATATCTTGTATAACTTCTTTGCAATCTGATGCAATCACAATATTACAGAGACACAAATCCTTCGCTAGAGCTAGTGCCTTACAGCAGGCTAAAGCTTCGAGAGTTGCTGGATCTAAAACATCACGACAGTTGATGGTCGAAGACCCCATATATAATCCATTAGAGTCCCTGCAAACCGCACCAAAAGAACCTGAATTTGAGCAATCTGGCAATTGCCTCATCAACATTCAACTTCGCAAAAGCCAAGGGGCGGAAGAGTCCAACCCCCACGTCCCTGCCACACAGCTGCCGGTTGCCCGTTCTGTTGTTTCGTATGAGATGGTTCAAATTCAGTTAAGTAACGTGTGATAAACTGGTGTGTTGCATGAGAACTTTGGAAATTTTGTTCATGAATGGCCTTCCAGCATACCAAATCGCCAAAGAGTGACCAGGACTGTCACAACATTTTATGTGGCAGTAGTTCCATCAACGCACGCGCAATAAGTATGCAATGCAAAAAAAAAAAAAAACATGCCGGCCCAATTCCTAGGAGGGTATGCGCCATTTGCAAAGATGCCTATAAGTGGCGCCTGAAGCGCCAAATATGAATTGCTCTTTTTAGCAGAAAATATGAATTGCCTTTGTTTTTAGAATCAAATATTTATTGGCTGGAGGAACGAGGCAAGATAGCAAGACCGCTAGGCCTACTCTTTGGAATCACTTACTAGTGGGCTGTGGGCCGGCCTTATTACAACTCTACTGCTGAGCCTACCAACATTTCCTCTTATGGTAATACCCTAGCATCTTTGTTTATCCCATCTACATAACACAAACCCAAAAGGGAAAGAAAACAAGGACGGACATGTGTACATTTCCTCTGTATACTCTCCCCTAGACGCTAGACTGAGCCACCGATCATATATGTCCACGGTCAAAACGCTTTACTCCTCTTCTCCTTCTTCTTCCTGTGCAATCCTATGGACCCTGATGGGCAGGCCCTTGGGGAAGTCGACGAACGGGTACACGAACGCCTGGTCGGGCTCGGCGAGCTCCCACCGGAAGTTGAGCACCAGGTGGTGCAGGAAGATGGCCATCTCGAGCTTGGCGAGCTCCGACCCGGCGCAGAGCCTCGTGCCGCCGCCGTAGGGCATGAAGTTACTGTTCTGCGCCACGCCGGACGCGTTGCCCTGCAACAAACAGCAAACACACAACGTCAACACCTCTGAACCTGACTGAATGCACATACGTTTCAGGTTTGTCTTCGTCATGGTGATCGAAGTGGTGGTGGTGCTATTGCCACGACCACATATTCCCCACGGGCATTAACTGGTAGAGTCGTGATTAATGGCGTCGTTTTGTACGTGACGGATAAGGATGGGATGTGCACGGAGATGGACGGGTCCCCGACTTGTTCCAATCGCCCACTGATTGGATTCTCTTCCGCTTGGACCATGCGCACACAGTAGAGTCCAAGCTGCTGGCTGCATAGCTAGCGTAAGTTTAAGCCTAGCTGCACTAGATGGTGGCGACCCGGTGAACCTCCATGCTACGGACAATGGGGGCTCCTTTGACCGAGCGAGCGAAAGACAGAGCGAGAGGGAGCAAACACGTCTCTTTTGATCGGTCGGACCACATCAAGAGCACACGTGCGCATGCGAGCTCAACATTCCCTTTCATGTCAGGCCCGTGCGTGCGTGTTGTTATCGTCGAGTGGAGCTGAAAAGTCGTGCATTCAGCTAGTCTATGCACTACTGTGCTCCAATTAGGAACACATTTATTAGCTCGTGCACATTCTTTGCCACTGAATTAAGTTTCACTGTGCAAACGTCATGAAGGCCTATGATTGGCTAGACAACAACGACGGCTAGACATATTTTTTCTTCTACTTTCAAACATGGATCGATTCATGGTTCTGGTTGATTTCGTGTGAATAAAATTGCAAGCATCGTTCAGGCACCGACCTTCCATCTCCAAGGGTTGAAGCTGCTGGGGTCCTCGTACAGCGACGAGTCGAGATGCACCGCCGCTAACACCGGCAGAATTTTCCATCCGCTCGGGATGTCATACCCTGTCAGTCGACGCACATGCAAACATTCATCAACTCTAGGAAGAAGAAGTTCAGTAGTAAGTACTGCCGAAGAAATGCATACAGGAAGAGAGAGTTAAGCCACCAACCATTGTAGTGCACATCTCGAATGACCTTCCGGTGCAGGAACCTGACCACGTTGCCTAGCCGCAAGGTCTCGTTTATAACCTGCAACAAAAGAGGCAGATAATGAGTCCAACATTTGTCACTTTTGTACTCCCAAACAAGAGAGTTCGGCAGTTGGAATGTAGGATCAGAAGATGCTATTTTGGTGTACAATGACACAATGTATAGTTCCATACAGTAGCACACCACCCACGATACTATACTACTACTGTACGAAGGGCATGTGCTCCCCAACTTTTCAGGGGATCGGATAACCTGCCTTGGCATCAAACTGTGTATGGACAGTGAAATTTCCCCATGGCAAAGAAGCCATTGTCCTGACCCCAGTTTGTTTAGCCCAAATCACTGATTTTTTACCAGACTAGATGGTGTATGTTTGACGTGTTCTGCTCGTGCCGTCTGGATACCAAGGCAGACGACAAAGATACCTTCTTGACGGACGCTGGCATATACATACACCCAGCAACACGTACTTCTCAGACCATTTTGGATCCTGGCAAAAGTGCAAAATCATCCATCCATTGGCCACGCACTGCATCAACAAACCTCCAAAACAAAAGCCATCCGCTGCTAGCTAGACAGAAGAGCAAGCGGACACTATACGGTCCAAACGAGTGGCTGGCCAACTTGCATCGACGACGGAGCCTCTCCCGCTCTTGCATGGCATTTTGGGAAGTTCCTATTGCGCTACGCACCTAGACGAGCCTTGTGCTACTAGGAGCTGGAAGTAGCCAACAAAAGGCCAGGTCACACGCATATATCTTGCACTGATATTACGAGGGGGGAAACGGACAAAATCAAGAGGGCCTTACGCATTGCGTGAAAACCATCTCTTTGTAGTCTTCCCAGCTCAGTTTGCACTCCCCTCTCAGCTTCTGTCTCCTAGCAATCTCAAGATGCTCCTCCTGCACGGCCACGGATTCACTGTCAATATTTCCATGATATTTCTGGTGCATTTCACCATCCATGTATGCACTGGATGTAGTTTTTTTTTTAATTCTTCCGAAAGATGAGAAAGATAGCTATGTCCGGTTTAGCACAGATCAGTTTGAGTTGGTGTAATAGTAAACTGAATTTGTACGTACCCGCAGTTCTTCAACGGCTTTAGGGCAACCTTCGAGGAAGAAGATGGCGAGGGCGAGCGCCATTGACGATGTCTCATGCCCGGCAAACAGCAAGCTCAGCAAGAGGTCCAATATTTGTTCTTTCGAAAGATTGGACTGCTTCATCGCCCACCCGAGAAGATCATCTTCTTCCATGCTCGAGGCCTCCTTATTCATTTTCTCAAGCCTTTCCTCCATTTTCCTCTCTATTACTCCAAGTATGGTGGCTCGCGACTGCATGCAAATACATGGTAAATAATTATATGATGTTTTCTCATGACCGAACAAAATAAAATTATAGTGCAAAGTCATATGCAGTAATTTTGTGTTTGGGCTTGTTGAGCTGTGCCCTCAGCATGAACCCTTTATTTGTGTGTGGTCCTGCTTTGTGCCCCTGTTGGGTGTAGACCTGTGTGTGAGTGTGTGAACCTTTGTACTGTTGGCTTGGGCAAGTGCTTTATATATAAAGCGGGGCGAAAGTCTTTTTCGGTAAGATGTTGCCTAACCGCCTACTGGCCTAAGATCGTGCCTTGTCATAGCTTTCTGTTTTGGAGCAATTCATATCTTTTTAACATAGTTGCCGTCAAATAAAATAGGATACTTCTCAAGCATACAAATTATTCTCCTTCTCCCTTTTTGGCGCTTTGACAATTAAAAAGTGATAATTAAACAAAAAAAAGGTCTTTCTCTTTTGGTTTCCTTTTTCTTTTCAATCTGTATTTTTTTTCACTTTTATGCTTAGGAGCGTTTGTAGGTTGGCGAATAGGTAATGAGAAGAACTTCCTAAGCACGACTATACAATGGAAAATCGCTTTACACATTTCATAAATCAAGCATATATATGCCAACATTGATGACACCAACCATTTGCTTGACAAAATTTCCCTCTACATCAATCTAGGTATACACTATATATATAGGATTGATCTCAGCTAACAAGGGGTGCTTAATTAAAACAAAATTAAGAGGGTTGCTAATAGCGTGCCTGGCCACATAAATGTGGTTCCAGTGTGGTAAGAGTTGGTCAGCGGCTGAATCATGATAAATGATGATTCCCCCAACATATAATCATGCCAAATTATGGAGGTTGGTCACTGAACTTTTTCTAAGAGGTCAAAACTCCAAGTTGCAATTGTGTGAGCAGGGGCCGTGTGTAGGGGAGAGAAAGAGTGTGAGAGCATGCATGCATGCATGCTGCATCTGGGAGCAATCAATAAAGATCATTTGAGTGTGACCTCACAAGCAGTAAAAAGCGGGCAACATTTTTATGCGCCCATGAGTGATGATCAGTACTACCTCCGAGGGCAAAGTAGGACGCCAGGAAAAAGAAACAAGAGTTGATCGATCTAATCAGAGGTAACACCGGCGCCATGTCCATGTGCATGAATGGTTTTCTAGCTATATGTTCACTACTACTAGTAGTACTATGCAGTAGTATCAACTATATGTGATTTTCTTGCCATGCATAATTAAGTAGATCGACTGGCTGATTAACCCTTTCCCCTAGCTAACAAGAAACAATCCCAACCATGCACCAACTGGCTTGACCTAGATGGACACACACCTTTCAACCAACATTTGTAAAAGGAAACCTAGTATTCACTATTCTCTCAAGAGGTTCTTTTATTTATACCTAGTAGAATGAAAAAAAGTGTTTCTTTCTTTTAGGTGCCCATATATGTAGTGATGAGAAACTGATTTTGTGCAAACACTGGTGCAAGTTCATTCTATATATAGATAGAAGGGTGGCAATGGAAGTGGCTTTAGCAGAAAGAAAATAAGCATCGATGGATCCAGTGGTGTCTGATTGGACCTGATGCAGAAAGAAAATAAGGAGTACTGACACACCTTGAGGGCCTTCCAGTAGGCCGTGCCGGGGAAGTTGAGGGGCGCGGACACCACCCCCTTCATGAACGTGATGTACTCGAGCCTCAGCCGCTCCGTCTCCTCCTCGCCGGGGTCCATGCTCATGATGTTCTTCGCCATCAGGTTAAACGTGAACTGCACGCACCAACGAACGCATCCGTCCATCGTTAATTAGCAGCTGAGCTGGGGTACGACGTTGTCAATTCCACATCCATCGATCTCGCTTGCTTTGCATGGACCACGCCGCCACCATCACCCCACTGCCGCGGGTGCGCGGCATGTAGGTGTGTGCTATGCAGGCGCTGTGCATGGCGCGCGGTTAATCGGAGAGTTGGTGGTTTACCTTCTTGGCTTCGTGCTGCGCGGAGAAGACGGAGGAGGAGGAGGAAGGCAGCCAGTCGCGGAGGACGAGGAGGGTGTGGCGCTCCACCTCCGGGAGGAGCACGGCGCGGAGGCGGACGGAGCTGAGGAAGTTGAGGGAGATGAAGCGCATCTCGCGGTGGGGGTCGCCGACGAGCACCAGCATCGACCATTTGCCAAGGATGCCGCCGATGCTCCGCGGGTAGCTACACTCGAACAGCCGCCCCTCGTTCTGCAGGATGTACCGGTTCAGCCCCGCGTCCGCCGACACCACCGTCCGGTCCCCGAACAGGCTCGACCGGTATATCTTCCCGTACCTGCATCCATACCATACGATCCCATAATTCGACGTCAGCCCGAATGCTCGATCGATCTTCCACGCGTGCTCGCATGCCTGTACTGATGTATATGTATGTGTGTGTATGTACCGACCGTGCGATGTGCTGGTCCATGAACTGGCCGATGGAGGTGGCCGGGTGGGCGCGGAGGTACCCGAAGGTCTCGCCGATGAAGGGCCAGCCGACGGCGCCGGGCGGCAGGTTCGGCCGCCTCTTCTTCGTCCGGCCGCTCCACCAGTGGAGGCCATGGCATTTAGCCACGGCGCTGGTGTAGAAGGTGAGCAGGGCCAGGAGGATGAAGGGGAGGAAGAAAAGGAGCTCGCTGGTTATGGAGGCCATGATGGCGGCCATGAGCGAGAGCCCGCGGTCTCTTGGAATTTAATTCCCTTCTCGATCACTCGCTCGCTGCGTTGGCGTGTGTGTGAGAGAGATGATGGGTTGGAGAGAGAGAGAGAGAGAGAGAAAATAAAACTGGGGCTGGATTAAAGAGTGGCTTTAAGCTCTAAAGATTTCTCTCTCTGCAAGCTTTGTGCAAAGAAAATCTTGCTAGGAAGGTGCCCACTTCGACCTCCCCTCTCTCTGTTGTGGTGCTCTTATATAAGTTTTTGAGGTGTGTGACAGGGAGGGAGGAGGTGGTTGTGGGGATTCTTTAGCCAGATTTTAATTTTTGGTGCGGCGCAGGGCGTGGGGACACTGCCACCTCTTTTCTTTTCCTCTGGACTATATTTCTCTAGTACTCTCTCTGTAAACTAGTATAAGAGCTTTTAGATCACTATTTTAGTGATCTAAAAGCTCTTATATTAGTTTACAGAGGGAGTATTTGAAAAGACAAATAATCATTACTCACTCCATCCTAATTTACCCACGTGTTTTTTTAACATGGTACGTACGCAGATGCTTGCATAACTCACCTCTATAAACGCACACACATCCTAGGGCTATGAGCACCTCCGCGATACTGAACCGACACAATTCTTAGATTAACGAAATCACCATAGACACCTTCATAGTAGACGGTAACACCCCTCCCGCTGAACAAACATCGCAATGCTAGAGAGGTTGGGCTAAGCACATTGCCAGTCTGTACAAACAGAAGAAGTTGAGGTTATCCTCCCTCTTCAACAATCTTGGTAAAATCACATAGGTGAGCCCTGTACCTGATCGTGAGTTTGAACAGAAATAGTCAATTAAACAAGCAGATTGCCAGTCTTTTGCATGAGGCAGAGAGTAAATTGTATCAAAATGAAAGGCACAATTTCTCGTCCAAAGTGATGATACGAAATACTTTCATATGTTGGCTTACAATAGACACAGAAGAAACATATTTTCGTGTTGAATAAGGATAAGGGCCGAATTTGAGTGAGATGTGCCTAGCTATCAAAGATTACATCAGTAATTATTATAAAAATCTATTTGAACCTCAAGTCAAAATTAATTTATCTCTAGACAAGTAATAGATGATATCCGGCATGTCTCGGAAGTGGGAAATTAGTTTTTAACATCTATGTTCTCTAAAGACGAAATTAGGGAAGACATGGTTAATTAAGTAGCACTGACAGTGGGTATGCTATTAATTAGGGTAGGGTCTAAATACGTTTAGCACTAAACACCGGAGTGGCAAAGACCATTGGATAGATGCGGTTGAACTGATGAGATGTGTTGGATCTCTCGGACTCGCTTTTTTGATATTAGATATAGATATAGATATAGATATAGATATAGATATAGATAGGGATAGATATAGATAGACATATAGAAATAGATATGTTGAATTCCCGTAACTCGCTATTTTTATATTAGTATAGATATAGATTTTTTTGAGGGGTTAGTATAGATATAGATACAAAGAGAAATAGAGATAGATATAAGATGACCCACCCATGTCTTATAAGTAGTTAAACCCGACCTGGAAAGAAACAAGACGTCCAAGTTGCACAAATTATCTTTCAACGTGCGTACGTACAAGGGATATATGTCCATAATTTTTTAAATATATTGGTAAATCTAACACTGAGTTATAGATCTCACCAATAAAATATTTTTAAAAATGTGGATTAATGTGGTCCGTCTATAAATAACCTCGTATTTGCTTTTACCACCTCCGTTCCAAAATAATTGATGTACCAAGTTTATCCCAAGTCAATGTCACATACTAGATTTTCCCCAAATCTGGAATGTTTAAAAGTTTTGCACGAAACTATTTTTTTCCTTGGAAAACCTATGTTTGTTTGACATTAGCTAGATTTGACTAGGAATTGATTGAATAGGATAGGAATGTGGACCAGTTGAACTTTGGGAATTATTCAGGAACCCAAAATTATCATTTAGAGGATAATTATATGATTGTGAGAGACCTAGTGTGATTAATTGGGTTGGTTAAAAGGCCTAAGTAGAAGAAACAATAAATGGGCAAGGTTGAGAAAATAAAAATAAACCCCCCAAAGCAAGATGGCAACTCAAATAATTAAGGTTGACATAAAGACAAATTCATTGGAATTCAAACAATAAGGGAAACCCACTTGAAAATGGAAATAAGTCAATTATGATAATTAAACAAAGCTTTCAAATAAGTGCTAGAAAATAATTGACCAAATGTGAAAAAAAATGTTCATCTTTCTCTAAATATTTCAAAATGAATTTATAATAAGTTTTCCTTTAAGAATAAATTGAAATTTCAAACAGATTAGAATTTAGAAAGAAATAGAAAACAAAAATAGAAGAGGAAATGAAATAGAACCAGCCAGCCAGACCAGCACGGCCCAGCCAACCAGCGAGGCCCAACGAGCACGAGCAACCCACCATGCCACTTAGCAAAGTTGTACGCCACGTTTTAATGTGACCATCGAATAGAGATCGAACGGTCAGCGTCAAGCGCGCTACTCTACATCATCATCATCTCTCTCTCTCTCTCTCTCTCTCTCTCGCTCTCTCTCTCTCTCTCTCTCTCACTCACTGACAGGTGGGCCCGCATGCCAGCTGCGACGCTATCGACTTCAACCGCTCGCCAGCACAACGCTCATGCACACACCTGAGTGCCCACGTCGCCACGACCTCAACCTCAGCCATCTCCCGTGCACTATAGCCTCTACAACCTTGTACTTAAATACGCCGTTCCCCTCTCATCATTTTGCCCCAACTCGTAGCACACATCGCTGACAGGCTGCTCCGTCGTGAACCCCTGTTGGGGAACGTAGTAATAATTAAAAAAATCCTACGTGTCACCAAGATCAATCTAGGAGATGCTAGCAACAAGAGAGAGGAGTGCATCTTCATACCCTCGAAGATCGCAAAATGGAAGCGTTACAAGAACGCAGATGATGGAGTCGTACTCGCGGCAATTCAAATCGTGAAAGATCCGATCCAAGCGCCGAACGGACGGCGCCTCTGTGTTCAACACAGGTACATCCCGGGGACGTCTCCTCCTTCTTGATCCAGCAAGGGGGAAGGAGAAGTTGAGGGAGAACTCCGGCAACACGACAACGTGGTGGTGGTGGAGCTCGTGGTTCTCCGGCAGGGCTTCGCCAAGCACTACGGAGGAGGAGGAGGTGTAGGAGGGGGGAGGACCACACCATGGGAAAAGGTGCGTCTGCCCTCCCACCCTCCCTCTATTTATAGGGTGAAGGGGAGAGGGGGTCGGCCCCCCTAGATGCATCTAGAGGGAGGGGGCGGCCAAGGGGGGGGGGGACTTGCCCCCCAAGCAAGGTGGGAGGCACCCCACCCCCTAGGGTTTTCAACCCTAGGCGGCTTGGGCCCTTGGGGGGGAGCATTAGCCCACTAAGGGGCTGGCTCCCACCCATATTCAGCCCACTTGGTCCCCCGGGGCAGGTGGCCCCACCCGGTGGACCCCTGGACACCTTTCGATGGTCCCGATACAATAACGATAACCCCCAAAACTATTCCAACGACTGAAACTGGACTTCTCATATATAAATCTTCTCCTCCGGACCATTCCAGAACTCCTCGTGACGTCCGGGATCTCATCCGGGACTCCGAACAACTTTCAGTAACCACATACAATTTCCCATTACAACTCTAGTGTCACCGAACCTTAAGTGTATAGACCCTACGGGTTCGGGAATCATGCAGACATGACCGAGACAGCTCTCCGGCCAATAACCAATAGCGGGATCTGGATACCCATGTTGGCTCCCACATGTTCCACGACGATCACATCGGATGAACCACGACGTCGAGGATTCAAGCAATCCCGTATACAGTTCCCTTTGTCAATCGGTACGTTACTTGCCCAAGATTCGATCGTTGGTATCCCAATACCTCGTTCAATCTCGTTATCGGCAATTCACTTTACTCGTTTCGTAATGCATGATCCCGTGACTAACTACTTAGTTACATTGAGCTCATTACGATGATGCATTACCGAGTGGGCCCAAAGATACCTCTCCGTCATACGGAGTGACAAATCCCAGTCTCGATTCGTGCCAACCCAACAGACACTTTCAGAGATACCTGTAATGCACCTTTATAGCCACCCAGTTATGTTGTGACGTTTGGTACACCCAAAGCATTCCTACGGTATCCGGGAGTTACACAATCTCATGGTCTAAGGAAATGATACTTGACATTAGAAAAGCTTTGGCAAACGAACTAGACGATCTTTTGCTATGCTTAGGATTGGGTCTTGTACATCACATCATTCTCCTAATGATGTGATCCCTTTATCAATGACATCCAATGTCCATAGTGAGGAAACCATGACCATCTGTTGATCAACGAGCTAGTCAACTAGAGGCTCACTAGGGACATGTTGTGGTCTATGTATTCACACATGTATTACAAGTTCCAGTTAATACAATTATAGCATGAACAATAGACAATTATCATGAACAAGGAAATATAATAATAATTATTTTATTATTGCCTCTAGGGCATATTTCCAACAGTCTCCCACTTGCACTAGAGTCAATAATTTAGTTACATTGTGATGAATCGAACACCCATAGAGTTTTGGTGCTGATCATGTTTTGCTCGTGGAAGAGGTTTAGTAAATGGATCTGCGACATTCAGATCTGTATGCACTTTACAAATATCGATGTCTCCATCTTGAATATATTCACGAATGGAGTTGAAGCGACGCTTGATGTGACTGGTCTTCTTTTGAAACCTAGGCTCCTTGGCAAGGGCAATAGCTCTAGTGTTGTCACAGAAGAGAGTAATTGGGCCCGACGCATTGGGAATCACTCATAGGTCGGTGATAAACTCCTTCATCCAGACTGCCTCTTATGCTGCTTCCGAAGCAGCTATGTACTCCGCTTCACATGTAGATCCCGCCAGGACACTTTGCTTGAAACTGCACCAGCTGACAGCCCCACCATTCAAAATATACACGTATC